AACCAAACGCGATGGGCTCTATGAAAGAACAATGCAACAGTAGTGTACCGAATGAGCCCATACAACCTGTAGAAGATGATATAGACCAGACACCTTACACTGTACCTCGAAGATTAGACACGGGACTAACTACACAGACGATGAATAAGACGTTAAACCCTTCACCAAGTACACATCGAAAAAATGATTATTCGCAGGCCACTCACTGGTCGGCGAAACTTCACGTATGAGTTGTACAACTTCTGAAACATTGAGTAAATCTGAGCAACTTTCATGTATGTACACTAACGCTCAAGGGCTCCTCAGTAAAATTACCGAACATCCACTAAGTCATGTTGCGAATGCTTGGGACCTAGTTTCTATTACCGAAACTTGGTTGCACCAAGAGGTGGCTGATGCTGAGGTTGAGATAGCCGGAATGTCACTCATCCGGAACGACCGCCCCAGCAGAGGAGGTGGGGTCCTACTCTACTACCGCAGCGAACTACAATGTACAATAGTTGAGGACTTGGAAACACACGTTACCGACTCACTCTGTTGCCGTCTCCGACTGAGACACAACGATATATGTCTCATAGCTATCATTTACCGCCCCCCAACCTCCACTCCGGAAATGGATTCCTGCTTGATCCGTGGCCTAAACAGAGTAACACGCACTAGGCACAGCCACATTCTCATCTCCGGGGACTTCAATCTACACAATCTATGGTATTGGCATCGCCCAGTGAGCAGTTCAAAACAGACTTGCGTGAACTGATGCTAATATTCTTTTGTACAATCATGTCATCACGCCAACTAGATTCAGGACAGCAAACAAACCGTCCATATTGGACATTGTGCTCACGAATGAAGAGCTCATGATTGACAATTTATTGATGGATAGTCCATTAGGTCTCAGTGACCACGTAGTAATAACTTTTGACTATGTGTGTTATGCAGAGTATCCATCCGAACACTTGGAACTAACTCATACAATCACACACTACCAGGTATTGAAAGAACTCGCCGACGTAACTGCTTGGGAATTCTCAAACAAAAGTCCCCTTGATAACGTTTGGGTAGAGTTCGTTAATAGACTCAGCGACATCGTCAACAGAGCATCAGAGACTAAGCCACTTCATCCCGCAAAATTGCCTTCAGTTATAAGGAGCAGCCCTCGAAATGCCTGGCGATAAGGGATGCAGCATGGCGTGCTTACAAGACTAACCCCGACTCAGAGAATTGGAGAAATTCCCTGACCCATCGCAACCATTGCACTGCATTTGTCCGTGAGAACAAAGTAACTTATCAACAGTGTCTAGTCAAAAAATTCATGGTAAACAACAAACTGCTATATAGGCATGTCAATAATCTTCGTAAAGTGAAGCATGGAATCCCTCCACTTTTCACGACATGCGGCAGAGTACAAAGTGCCGAAGAAGCAGCTAATACCCTGCGGCTACATTACGCCTCAATTTTCGAACTGGCAACCTCTACCTGTTCCATAATATCAAGCACATTACCGACACCTTTGTTTACAAATGTAATTTGCAACCCATCAATTGTGCTAAGGAAGTTACTCTCATTGTGTGAGCATAGTTCTCCGGGAGCAGACAACATCCGCCCGAAGGTACTGAAGGCTGTGGCCAACAAGTTAGGTAAGCCACTGTCACAGTTTTTCCAAAGGTGCTTTGATGAACAACAAGTCCCCACTATGTGGACGTGCGGCCTTATCACCCCTATATTTAAAGGCAGTAGCCGTTCAGATCCTGCAAACTAACGTCCAGTAACCCTCCACCCTGTGTTCGCGAAGGTGATGGAAACAATCGTCGCTGAGGCTTTAACGGACTACCTAGAAAAATGCAACATCTTGGTACCGGAACAGCATGGCTTCCGTCAACTCCGGTCATGCACCTCCAACCTACTGATGGCATGAGGTAGTTTGACGGAAGTGACTGATAATGAGGTCGGAGTTGACGTCATCTATCTGGACTTCTCCAAAGCTTTAGACCGTCTTGATCAACGTATCCTACTTCAACGGCTACAGAGTTACGGAATCGGAGATCCTGTACTTATTTGGATTGGCAGCTTCCTTCACCAATGGAAGCTTCAAGCACGTGTTAGGTGATCACTCTCTAACCCAAATGACGTGGAATATGGTGTTCCACAAGGCTAAGTGCTGGGACAGCGCTTATTCCTGGTGTTTATCATCGACCTGGCAAGGGTTATCTCCTCAAAGTTCCTGCTTTTCGCCGAAGATGTCAAGATATGGCTGGCGATTAATAACAAGCCATATCACGATCTACTCCAACATGACCTAGATTGCATTTACGAATGGTCAAAGAAGAACACGCTTCAATTGAACATAGCTAAATGCAAAGTGATACACCTGCGTCACCAGCCGGTGAGCGCTTACAAGCTTGGAGACCACACCTTAGAGAAGGTATCTCAGAAGCGTGACCTGGGTGTATTAGTACAGGAAAATCTCGGGTGTTCAAAACAAACAGAGAAGGCGACGAGAACCGGCAATCAACACTTCGGCCTTTTTCGCAGAGCCTTCGGTCGGTTTGAACCCTCAATATTTCCCCAAATGCTTAATGCCTACGTGCGACCTCACGTGGAATATGCTATTCAGGCGTGGCACCCATCGCAGAAACAGGATCTCGTTGCCCTCGAGACTCCTCAACGAAGGGCAACGAAGAACGTCAGGGGCCTCTTTCATCTACCCTATCAGCTTAGACTGAAATCTCTAAGAATGCACAGCCGTCGATATCGGTTTTTGCGGGGGATCTCATAATGGTTTACCAAATCCTGAAGAACCCAAATCACATTTGTCCTGCGCTGCTGGACTTGGACCACAACACTAAACTAAGTGGTCACCCACTGAAACTGACAATTCAGTATAGCTGGCTTGAATGCCGTAGAAATTTCTTTCCTCGCCGCGTTTGCCCTGCCTAATTATGTCCTCTCTGCTCCCAATCTGGCGATATTTAAAAAAATGTGTTGACGATGCATTGTCTCACTTACATTTCATTTTATGATTTGTTAGCCAGGGGCTACAAAACGCAATCAAACGGTGTCTTGCCAAAAGCTTAACCAATGGATTTATGGATTTATACGTTTAATACGCGAACATCTCCGCTATTCCACATAAGTCTATGGTGAGTCCACCAAAAAGCTTTTCACTTTATCATGCAATTGATTTTCGCAATAATTTCCATCCCACGGGACTTGTAAGTCGATGCTTTTTTACCCGTAATAAACCCTTATCCCATTGTTAGTATCAGATGGTGAGTTCTCAAGTTTATGTTATTGCTCGGTTGTATTAAAGAGCTGTACACATGATTTGGATAGTTTACAATGATGTATGACATTATCAGATCACTTCGCAGTCGGTGATACCGTCGGCTGAATACCCCAATGAGTTCAGCATCCGTTTGAATGGGAGCTTACGCATTCGAATAAGGTACTTGGATGCCCTACTTTGAAGCGGGTCAGTGCATTGGGGTCATTGTCATGGCTGCCAGATTTGAATTGCCTATTCGACATGAGCGCGAACATACACACTCAGCATCTCTCGCCAAATGGCGATGCTTATTTGTCCGAATGCTTAAATCAACAGACCGAAGTGTGTGTTATAAGATTTTGATTCTTTTTCGGATTGTCTGGATCAACCCAAATCATTCTAAGTCAGTACGCCCAGCTAGCGTTTGAAGGAAGACTGATGCGGTACATGCTAGGCTGTATACGTAGTTGATCTGGATTGATCGCTGATGTATCATTTATAGGTCACATTGAATCAGACTTTGGTTGGTAACTACCTGAAGCCTGCACCATATCTTGTTATTGTCAGAAACACTAGTAAACTTATAGTGGTTATCTGTGTAATGTCATTAATAAACACTGCGTTGAATGCAAGCACCGGACTTCCGTCGTTCACTCTGCATCTCAAGCCAGATTGTCCACGCCAATCACCTAGTCATTGTGATCCACAGCAACGCCTATTAGGAGGACGCAAATAGAACACTCCAGGTTCATTGTTCCTATATATATAAATGGTATATGACGAAGATACATTTGCAGGCAAAGGACTACTGGTGAGTACTCTGTAAAGATTTCATCTATTTGATGTAAACGGATGCTGTACCTTAAGCTTCAGTCTGTGAAGCCATTTAAACTGCATATCTGCATCCCCTGACTTGATGATCTTAGCAGTGAGAAGGAAACCTCTGAACCCATGACTACTCGATTGGTCCCAAGTAGCTTCCAAGAATTCGAAGGTAAGTAGCAGTTTGCTCTAGTCTACAGCTGCTTACTTATCGCGACAAATCTTGTTCATCGACTTTGGTCACAGTTATTTCCCATATCAACTCTTGCAACGAAAACGAAAGTTCGCACTTCATTGTGAAATAACCTACATTACATCATTATGCAGATCGGTAGAAGGCGGCTTCCCTGCGTAGTGTTTTGAGGACTTGCAATTTATCGTTGCTCAATAACTCTAATTGAAACAAAAAGGCTTGAGGAACCATGAACCACTGGCTCTGGTAGACTAACAGCATGCTGGTCAGCCTCCCTATTCAATTCTCATCCCGATCAGACTGTAACTCTCACGGATAACCTGAATAGTAACTGGAACAAGGAACAAAGTTTAAGGTGTACATTCAAAGTAGGCCCATAGTTAGGCCATTATTAACTATCCGAGTATTATTCATTCTCTTGAGGCCACACCGATTGGTCCTGAAACGCGGTGACCGCTTCGCGGTTTAAGTGAAAGTCAGAATTAGGGTCAATCGCCCAGTTCAGCGTGTACAGCGCGCAACAGCCACTTGGCTAGGGACGGGTTACTGCGTCGGGCTGGGTGATGCGCCCTGGGATCGATTTCCCATTGCTGCAGTCACACGGCGATTTCAGTGACTAAGCTCATCAGGCACGTGCGTACGCGCAGGCCCAGATAGAGGCCGATTCGCCAACCCATTTAGCCACGGCCTCCAGCAAGCACACAGCCACTAGCGCAGGTTGATCGAAATGTTGGCGGCTGCGCACTGGTGCGTTGTCGTTAGGACCGCACACGTCCACTTGAGAAAATCGCGTGGGTGGGCGCTGAAATGCGTGTTTACGCTTTCGATCGGTCAGCACCGTGATTCCAGCTTCCTGGGGATGTCTGTCCTTGGGTGCGTGTCCGTATACGTTCCTCGCGCGCGCTTCAAACGCTTCCGTGTTCCAACTGCGGAACTTGTTCACTTATTGAATTTGCGGCGAACAAACGTGGGTGCGGTTACATCCCAGACCTTTGTGCGGTCACTGGATAATGTGAATGTCCAACCAAGTCACGCACCTACTTCGTGTCAGGTTGCTTGACCTCCTTTCGCAACGTTCTTCGGTGTACAAGTTATCCAAATTTTTTCGATCACATTTAGCTATGCGCAGTAGTCAGACGGATCATGTAAACCCGGACAACGTAGATGGTCCATCTCTGACACCACGCACTCCGTGCCATTTCATTGCTCAACCAGCCCTCTCCGGCAACACAGGCTTGGAACGAACCACGCCTTTTACGCAGGCAACTACTATTCCCACATCATTCCAAATCGCTGTGCAGTTGCTTAACAGTATTGCAGATTTCGAACATGACGAATCAAGTCAAACTAATACTGCGGATACTATATCGGGCCGGCCTAGTGGAACGAGCGCGGGGCTGCAGTCTCTGACTCGGCGTTTGATAAGTCTTGCCTCTTCCGTTTCGGTGGCGAATACAACCCACACTAATTCATCTTGCACTAACTCTGATGCTCACTTAGGGCAAGCGAACAGAGCCGCTCGGGATCGACCCCCACCCTCCGCCTCCAAAAGTGAACTGGCTACCGAGTCACTTACTTCCCCTTTGGACGGTACTGTACATAGCAGCACTCTAACCCCGATTTCCATCCCGTGGTCTGCTACAGCTTCACCCACAGCTGTGGCGACCTTTCAGAACGCGTTGGCGCAGATGGCAGTGCTCGGATTATCTTCCCAGACCTTTGACAACGGAATTGATATCGTGCGAACTACAACTGCATCACCAACAGATCATTCAGGCTGTAATCCATCTTCCACACTGAAGAGAGATACAGTGCACACTGAGCCCGGCACCGATTCCTTTACGGAGGAGGCTTTGTCGTAAGTCCGATTCCACTAACCTTATCAGTGAACAGGGTTTGTTTGTTCCTAAACCGCAACAGAACATTACCACTTCTTATCCGCCACTGGTTACCTACGAGTTGTGCGGTTCAGCTTACATGCCGACCGCTATTTGGCGAATCTCATCGTGTTCAGTCCTCAGTATTGAGTTAGTATTTGATGTGCACTTGCCTTTCACATGTTAACTGGCGTTATGCAAAGGGCGGTATCGCCTCTTTGTGACAAGAAGAGTAGTAGGGGTTGAATGTTATATGTAAAAATTGGTCACATCTAGACTCACTCAGATAGCCATCACACGCCCGGAAAATCACTGCATGGCCGTTTCATCTTTTCGGAATCGTCAGCAGTGCGCATTCCATCTCACCCTGGTTGGGCTCGAATCCACGACTCGACTGTTACCAGTCCGTGGTCGAGATCATTGAGCTACGGGTGACGGCAGCGACCATCGTGAATAAGTTACTAGATGTGATAGAGCGCCGCTCACTATCTACTGACTTGCACGTTACTGCCGTGTAGAGGGCAGGGTAGCTCCCTCATCAGAGGGCGTCCTTAGGTCGTTCGCTGCTTCCTCTGCATGCAACCCTGTTAGTTATGTGTGTAGTCTGTGGGAATCATTTAGTCTGTGTTGTTAGGACTGAAGTTTGTATCGGCTAACGCAAAGAGATCTAAGCCCATGGCAGTGTAGAGAAGTGTATCTCTGAGAACGAATAAAAACCTTAACTACCAACCCGAGCTACATGTATTCCGAATCATTGCAAATGTATCCCTGTTTGGTACCAATTGTCTCCTGACAGAAGCGGTGCAAAGAATGGTTGGGGTGCATTCGAACCATAATTTCCTGAAGCGCAACGATTGAAAAGTGTTTTGTTCTGCTTGAATAAACATTTGCGCAACAATATTGCTCCAACCTAGTGTATGTCCGAAATATTTCCGTTTTACTCCTTATCGTTGACCTCGAAGAATCCACTTCATAGAAAATGTATTTAGTATTCCTTGGTCATCCAACTCTGGGACACAGAACCGTTATGTTAAGTGGAAAATCATGTAAGCATCATGGCAAGTGCATACCATAAGGGTATCTCTCTTGGCCCAAAGCACTACTGCATCGACTGGATATTAGGTGTTCTTCGCCCGGAAACGCTGTAATCTACGACCGGTCCCAAAATTCGTCGATCTCATCAGGTCGAGATGACATGCATCGAACCTAGGGCCATTGAAATGTTCACCGAAACCTCTACGAATGCCTCAAGATGTCCCATCCAATCATTGATTAGCCGTTGTGACAAGCGTTGCTCGGCTAACGTTCCAGTGGCCCTACGTTCGATGCTTGCTATCTTGGCCTGATGAGATCGAGGAATTTCGAAACCGCTCGTAGACTACAGCGTTTCCGGGCGAGCGACACTCAATATCCAGTTACTTCATCAACTCAGTTCAAGTGAAGTCTAAATAGGTTTTATGAACCCGGCTGGGAACAGTAGCAGCATTTAACCCTAGCACTGTGGGTGTAGCGAGGCGTGAAATGGGCATGAAATTGCAATCAAAGCGTAACAGGCGTAAAACATACATACATCTCACTCAAGTAAACGTTTGCGCGTGGAGCTGACTACTTTTGGTGTTCACAAGAAAACGGGGGAAATACGGTAAGATAGAGTTATGATAACGTGATATACGCGAAAACAAGACCCCATATTTAGAGCGGGTAGATGAGCAAGAGAGTACTTTTGATAAATCAGCTTGTAAAGGGTGAAAAGGATCATTTAATATCTATGTTGGAAACCTGTCAAGTACATCAAAATGCTTAATAATCACAAAGCCAATCAGAGACTCACTGGGCAATCCACTACACCTAGAAATAAGCTTAATGGTGGTAGGCACGATCAATGTGCATTCCTTCTGTGGAGGGGCAGGAAAAATTATAGGTGGGCAATATATACAATGAGGATAATTACAGGCAATCACAAATTTGTAAGTTAAACAGCAGGACACTGAAAGCATTTTAAGTCTCAAGGCATAGAATAACAATTTTCGCACCTTGCGTAACGTTTCGTCGACGTGTGTTGACCAAATAGATTGTGCAGTAAATATATACCAAGATAGTTATCAGTAGATGAACTGGGTATGTTGTGGTTACTTACGACCACGGGGCGAGAAGTACTTGCCAACGTCAGACGTTAGTCAGTGCTGAGAAGAGAGAAAGTTACGTAGCGGCATTTAGAAACGTTGAGAATAAGGGGGATCGGGACGACAACCACTGCCGAAGCTCGTCCAACTCGCTTCGGAAAGCCGTGGATGATTCAGCAGCTGGAGGTATGTTCCTAAGACTACGTCGTCAGCATACTTACATCGAATAAACTTGGGGGAAGTGGGAAGCATTTCGATGCATGGAGAGAATAAAAGAGGGAAGGGTTGGTCCTTGTAAAACGTCCCAGTCCTCACTAAGAGTGTGGGATTTTTTGCCGTTTAAAAATGAGATCGCCTTACGAAGTAGTGCTCATCAGGTTGTACACTGCTGGTTGCGCACCATTCGCAGATACCTGAATAAGTAGGAGTATTGTCGACACTTCCAAAAGCGTTAGTGTAACTAAACAGCCGCACATTCTTGCCTTTCGCATCCAATGAAGATGCTTTAGGATGAACGGTATACTACAGCATCCAAGGGGGAACGTCGGGATCTGTACGCAAACTGAGGTATGTCCACGACCGCAGTGCTTTTTGAGATCCAAGGCACAAAAAGTCGCTCGAACACTTCCAGCTTAACGGATGTACAGGAGATCGGACGGAATTTCGTGGATCCCGTCTTTGGCACGGGCGTTATCCTGACAAACCCCTAAATGTCGGGAATAGTTCTACCATCTAGGCACCGAATAAAAAGATGTATCAAAGGCATGGTGAGTGTATTGACACACTCCTTCAAGAGAACTGGTGAAAGAGCATCAGGTCCACTAGCCTTCCTTGAGCTCAGATTCCTGAGGTCACCGTTGTCTTCAACATGTTGGAATGTAATTATTGGACGAGAGCCAGAATACAAAGGCAAAGAGAATGAAGGGATGGAGGATGCTTCCTGCGAAGAAGGGCAGAGCTCAGAATTGAGTTTCTCTGCATCCACAGATACAAGCTGTTTTTTGGAACTTTTACGACATCTGTTTTAAATGTCTTCACAGGTCTCGACAGTTGTGATAGCATAAAACGGCTTCGATGTAGAAGTTATTAGTGGGGCAATCTCAGTTTTATTTCTAAGGAGAGCTGTTTGACACGGGCAGTTAGGTTATATTTATAGGTCCATTCTTTTTTCCTTCTAAGTTGTTTGAGTGATGGTGAGGAGAATCTACCTGCTCTTACGTAAGTGGTTTTGGACGGCAGCAAAGATCGAATCGAAGATTAAGCTAGTCACAATGAACAGACCTATCTACGTTGTTTAAAACTGTAAATTCAGTATAAGTCAGTATTTTTTGGCATATCGCAATATTGAATGATGAACCATCTCTTCGCCCCACAGTTTTGAATGGCTTATTAGCCAATGAACCGGAATGAGTCTTACTATAAACGACGGGACACAACGACACCACGACGGGATACAGTGATCGGAGTGACCGAGTGGGGCACATTTTTGCGCGGAAAACTGCTAGGCATGATTTGTGAAGACTACATCTAGTTGCGCTTCAAGTCTGGTCTGAAAGACCACTATCTTAGTCAAACCAAGTGCCTGAATGATTGAGGGGTCACTTTTATTAAAGTCCCTGGTGATAACACAAACGGAGCGGTCAAATTTCGGTAGATCATCCGCAAAAATTCCCAACTCCGATGCTTGTGTCCCGGGGGGATAAGTATACATTCCCAATAATAACAGAAATGAAACCACTCGAAAACTTTGACTTGCAATTAATAAAACGGAAGCTGGTTACGACTGTTGAGTTGGTGAGGAATAAAGATGACGAATAATACCAACGTTGATGGACGTAGGTAAAGACACCTCTTCCACGATTTTGTGGTATTCCGAGAAAGTCGGATCTGATGGTAAAATAACCAGCAAGTCGAATAACATAGTCCTCTAGATTCGCATGTAACCAGCTTCCTTGAAGCTGCATTCGAATATACAATTTACTGGATAAAGGCGGTAATATCCATCCTAATTTTTCAAGGAGTGATCCAATATCGTTGGATAAGATCAGCGGAATTTGTGTCTTATTAACTGAGCGAAGTCTGAGGCTTATTAGCTAGGCAGCGCGGTGTTTTCTCAGTTTACAATAATATTTCCGCACGACTCATTTGAAAGTATTTCGGACTCTGTGGGCATATCGAATAATACACGGACAGAGAGATTTAAAAATGTTGACGGAATAGGAAAACCTCGTGGTCATGAAATAGTTAAGGTAAACAAAATAGAAGAAGTGTTTTTTCTATTGGATAACGCCGCGGTAGCTAGAATAAAAAGGATTTCTCAATGAGTGAAAAGCACCGGCCAAGTGATGGCATTGACCATGGTTCATTTCTGTGTGATTCCCGGTCCAATTAAAAATGCACTTCTGCTTCGAATCTGGTAACTGATATTAACTTGTCGTCCCCAAAGTTACCTTTCATTTATTCACCTAATGTCCAAAAAAAGGTTCCAGTGCATCGTTTGACTATGTGGTGTCTGAGCTGGGTGAAAACCGCTTGACAACTCTCAGCTCTCATCTCGACACACCATATCACACATCTGTATGGACGAATTCCACGTGTAACTCACTTCATTGACCTGGTCCAATTGGGTGTGTGCTAAACAACAATTCCTCCGAACGCTCGCACATCACACTGTGCCCCTTTAATGTACTGTGAGGACTTGGGCGCCGTTTGTTTGAGACGCATATGGTCAAGCCCTTAATTTCCATTCAGCTTTTGATCCATGTAAGGTAATCAGAACAAGTTTTCTTTCTCACAGAACTTTATTGAGGTCGATTTTCAACTATTAAGAGGCACCAATACGACTGGTGAGAGATAAA